TTTTTTTTTTTTTTTTTTTTTTTTTTTTTTTTTTTTTTTTTTTTTTCTTCTCAACACGCAACGCAAGAACAAGGCTTGTAATGTTCGTTTCATTTAAATATGAATAGGCTATTCTCACACAAAATTACAATAAACATGGTGGCTCAAAGAACAGGTTTGCTGGCTTGATAAATAAGTCTGCTTAAGAAGGCGATTTTGTCCTCGATTGATAGTGATGCCTCTTAGAACGAAGGTTGAAAACCCTAGGTGGCATTTTCTCTCGTTTATTCCTTTTTATAATTTTTATTTTCGTTTTAGTTTAATCAAATATGTTAATAATTAATAACCAGAGTCATTGATTAGAATTATGAGTATATTTTGAAATACTCTCTAACTCTTTTTCTGAAATACTCATATAGATATTACTTTATACGGAGTATATAATTTTTAGTGTTGCTGTGATTTTTTATAATTATTAATCACAATTTCTAATGCTAATCTGTTGAGCGGCATATTTAATGCCATTTGTCTGTACAACGCTCCTAGATGTAGGTTTGATAAATGAAAATATGCAAAAAAAAATAATAAAATCATTTACATGTCGTGCATTGAATATAGTACGGAGGTTTAGTGCTAAATTCTAATAATAGCCTGCTTATGCTATCGTATAGCTTTAATAAATGATGTAAGAAAATTAGTTCTGATAGAGTAACATTCTGGGAACATGAGTGAACGTGCTTGAATCTGCATGCCTTGACATTTTGGGGAAAATGAATTAAACCATATACTAATATATCACGTCAGAGGCTATTGATAAATGATCTTGTTAGAGATTGTACGCATTACATTTACTCGATGCTTCATATTCAAAATTAGAGTTAACGTATATTTGATGTTAGTACACTCAGTACAATGTATCATATACATATATTGATCATTCTTTTCATCAACACTAAGCAATACAGTATATGATAAATATTCCAAATTATCTAAAAGTTTACGAGAAGTCTTATAAATTAAGTTTGTTTTCGAATAGTGTGTGTTCAAAACTCAAAGTCAACTATTTTAGTCTACGTAAAGTTATATAAATGATAATAAATACTTCCTCCATATTTAAAGAGTATTTAAAAATTGCATGCTTTATTTTTTGTTGTATTTGAACGATTAATGTTTTAGATTTTAAACAATGCATTTCACTTTTTAAATAAAACATAAATTTATAGGTTAAATATAATTAGTTAAAAATTAGTGGGGAAACAAATAAGGATTAAAACTAATTGCAACTAAAACAAAAAAGTATACACAAAAATAAAGATTTAATTTTTTTTAATATGTAAACATTATTCTTTCAGATACAAAGGGAGAGGGAGTTTCTAAGAATTAATCGGATGAATCGCTGTAATTGTCAATCTCAGCGACAAGCAGCCGTGAGGACACGGGAGTAAAGAAAGTGACTCGTGATGAAGATCAATGTCATAATCTCAGATGGGAGAAAATGGTAAATCTTTAATTAATCAAGGTTAGTCACAAATTATAACAAAAAAAATTACTTGTTTTACTTTTATTTCACCTTCAATTCTTTGCTTCCTCCTTTTCTATTTATTTCTCTCTCTCCTTCTCTCTCTTTCTTTCTTCTTCTCTCTCAACAGTACTTGACTTCTGAGAAGAAAGAACAAGAAACTGAGAGAAAGCCATTAGATTTAGCTTTTTAACCAGAATCAAAAGTACGAGGATGTCTCATTCTAGAAGACTCTCCTTAGAACCTGCAATAGACTCAACTTCAAGAAGGTTTCGTGACTCCTTGAGTTTACAGACAAACGATGACGTCAACAAACCAGACTTCCGAGAACTCGATCTCGGTTCTCCTGTCTCCACCTTAACGCCACGTGTCTCCTCCTCATCCTCCTCCTCAGCAGCAGCGACCCCCACAAGCAGCTCCGGCTCCTCAGGCTCTGCTTCCGGGATGGTGAAAAGCCACTCCGGCGAGATTCCAAGATCCGGAATGCCGCCGACGACCCGGACTCTCAAACCGGGTCATAGAAGATCCTCTTCCACCGGAACGCCGTTGATCTTCTCCGGCTCTAGCTCTTACTCAGCAGCGAGCCAGAGCTCCGGTGCCACGTCAGCAGTGTCTCCGAGTCCGAAAGTATTACCCGCCGGCAACATTTGCCCGTCGGGTCGGATCTTGAGGACCGGAATGGCGACTCGGAGCTCAACGAGAACCGAGACTCTCTGCACAAGAACCGGAAACTACGGTCACGGAAACGTCGTGAGAAGCGGCGGAGGAGCCGCGGCGGGGAACGGTGGAACTCCGGAGGAGTTGAAGAGGTTAGGGAACGATATGTATAGGAGAGGAAGGTTCTCGGAAGCTCTGTCGTTTTACGACAGAGCGATCTCGTTGTCACCGGAGAATGCTTCTTACAGAAGCAACCGTGCGGCTGCGTTAACGGCGTTAAAACGGTTAGGAGAAGCCGTTAAAGAATGTCTTGAAGCTGTTAGACTCGACCCTTCTTACTCCAGAGCTCACCAGAGAGTTGCTTCACTCTATCTCAGGTAATGAATCTTTGTTGTGTGTTTTGTAAGTTTAAAGATTTGAGTTTATTTGATCTTTGTCTTCGTTGGTTTTTAGATTAGGAGAAGCTGAGAATGCAAGACGTCATCTCTGTTTCTCCGGTCAGTGTCCGGACCAAACTGATCTCCAACGGCTTCAGACGCTGGAGAAGCATCTACGGAGATGCTGGGAGGCTAGGAAGATCGGAGATTGGAGAACCGTTGTTAAGGAAACCGATGCAGCCATTGCAAATGGTGCTGACTCGTCTCCTCAGGTAACAGATCATAGCATTTGGACAGCTTTGTTGCATTTTGTTTAACTAACTAACAATGAGGTTTTACTGTCTGATTCGGACAGCTTGTGGCTTGTAAAGCTGAAGCCTTGTTGCGTCTTAACCAAATAGAGGAATCAGATTCTTGTCTATCTTGCATTCCAAGATTTGATCATCATTATCAGTCTCAACCACAAGCCAAACTCTTTGGTATGGTTGCTGAGGCTTATGTGCTATGTATCCAAGCTCAAGTTGATATGTCATTGGGAAGGTGAGAGTTTTCAAAACAAAGTTGTGATGATTTTTATTTTTCAGTGAGTGAGTAGAGATGATAGGTTTGTTGCAGATTTGAGAAAGGTGTTGTAAAGGCAGAGAGAGCTTCCATGCTAGATCAGACCAATCCGGAGCTCGTTTCGGTTTTAAACAATGTCAAGATGGTTGTGAAGGCACGTACTCGTGGCAATGAGCTGTTTAGTTTGGGAAGATACTCTGAAGCTAGTGTAGCTTATGGAGACGGTCTTAAGCATGATGGTTCCAACTCGGTTCTGTACTGTAACAGAGCAGCTTGTTGGTATAAGTTAGGTTTGTGGGAGGAATCAGTTGAAGACTGTAACCAAGCGCTTAAAATCCATCCTAGTTACATCAAGGCCCTTTTAAGAAGGGCTGCTTCATATGGAAAGGTAAAGATTATAACTTAGTTTGGTTAATTTAGTAACTGAGTTTATTAGTGTGTGTTTGAATGACAATGTTGGTTTGAAATGTAGCTTGGTCGATGGGAAGATGCGGTTAGAGACTATGAGTTTGTGAGAAGGGAACTACCAGGAGACAGTGAAGTTACAGAGTCACTAGAGAGAGCGAGAACTGAGCTAAGTCAAGAATCTAAAAGCTTAGGATTCAATATTGAAGTTGAAGCAGTTTCAACTTTGGATAAGTTCAAAAACTCAGTTTCACTTCCTGGTAAATTTTAAAACAGAAACAAAGATGCTGAGATTTTTTTTATGTCTTCTTAAAAGTGGAAACTTTTTTTTGTTTCAGGTGTCTCTGTGTTTCATTTCAAATCATCATCAAACAGGCAATGCGAAGAGATCTCTCCTTACATCAACACTTTATGCCTCCGGTATCCATTAGTACATTTCTTCATGGTAAGACGAATCACAGTTTCTTTTTAAACTCTTTTGTGTCTTGCAATGTACTAATAGAGAAAATGAAATGTTATTAGGTGGATGTGGAGGAGAGCTTGGCGTTGGCTAAGGCAGAGAGTATCAGGAAAGTTCCAACGTTTAAGATGTACAAGAATGGAGAGAAAGTGAAGGAAATGATATGTCCAAGCCACCAGTTTCTAGAGGACTCTATAAAGCACTTCCTCTTATAACTTGAAAAGCCTATCATCATCATCATCATCATTCTCTGCTTCACTATAACTTGATCCCAAGAGCCCTATTATATCAAGACATTAAGAGAAGATATCTTATGAAAGATGGGACAGAGCCATTCTATCATTCAACAAATTGTTCATTCTTTATGTTTTCTATATGATTTTTTTGGAGTTCTGACTCTGCTTCATTTGGCTATATTGTTAAACTGAGTAAATGTTCAGAAGTATTCAAGAAGTTCAAGCTTCATTTATCATTGTTATTCTGTTTGGCATGGTTGATGCAACCAAAGACACAGCAAGAACCAGAGGAAGAATGAAGCAGAAATTAAGGGATATAAGATTGGATCCATAGGAACAAATAGTAAGAGAGAAGAGCAATGGGTGAAGTTTAAGACAATACTGAATACAAATCACAAATAATAAGACTGTGTCTTAATACAAGCATAAACTCAAACCAGAGAGTACAACAACATAGACAATAATGATACATGAAACAGAGGAACTCAAAGTTTTCGCTATTATTCACCACGCATTTTAGTTGTTCTTGAAACATGTTTGTCCATTGCTGCTGCTGCGGGTGCACACATATCAGATCACTGCATCAAGAAGCAAACAAGATCTGCTATATTAGAATCAACTTAGTCAATATTCACTACAAGCAAAGGATTATCTTATAGTTAACCTCTGCATCGTCTCCACCTGCACCATGTTTAGCAGAACCATTCGTCTTATGGGCATCATCTGCTTCACAATAGACCAAATAAACATTTTAAATCCGCAGCAAAATACGAATCGTTATGAAACAGTAAATCATCTTCTGGATGCTTATTCAACTAATCATGTCAGTGGATATGCTTAGAATGTCTTAACTTCATTGGTTCCAAGCAAAAAACGGTACACAAAAGAAGCGACAATGAACAGATACTCCTAGATTGAAATAAACACACTAAAAGGATCCCATTGTAGGACACCAGAACATTATAGTTAATGATTTTTCTCAAGTACAGAATGATCATCACCTCCTTCTTCTGGAATGTCAGAAGTCCACAAGGTCAAATTGTCCCTAAGGAGTTGCAAAATCAAAGTGCTATCTTTGTAAGATTCCTCATTCAGAGAGTCAAGCTCAGAGATAGCATCATCAAACGCCTGCTTAGCAAGCTGACATGCCCTGAATAGCCACAAAAAAAAAACTCAAACCCCTGAAACAACTCTATGTTCTTAGTAATAAAAAAAGTCTCTGAAACCTTTCAGGTGAGTTCATGATCTCATAGTAGAAGACAGAGAAATTCAATGCCAATCCCAATCTTATAGGATGTGTGGGAGGGAGCTTAGCTTCAGAAGAAGCAGTAGCAATCTGTAAAAGTTAAAAAAAAAAAAAAAACTCAAAAGTAAATCTACAAAAAAAGACAATCTGTATTAGATCAGTCACAAATAGAACACCTCATAGGCTTTCAAAGACTGATCAGCAGCTTCTTTCCTCTCATCTCCTGATTTGAATTCAGCAAGATAACGGTAATAATCACCTTTCCTGTTACAAACCAAACAAAATCTTCATTTACATATACATATAATCAAAACCTGATCTGTACACAGCCTTAGTTTCAGCTCAATGATGTTAAGTTTAACATAAGTTAAAAGATCATTACATCTTGTTAAAGAACACAGTTGATTCACCCTCAGAAGCAGATGGAATCAGATGCTCATCCAACACAGACATTATGTCAATGCATATACTCGTGAGCTCTAACTCAACCTTCTCCATATAATCTTTGATCCTCTTCACATTAGCATCGTTCCCTTTCACTGCTTCTTTCTGCTCTATCGACGAGAAGATCCTCCACGAAGCTCTCCTTGAACCGATCACGTTCTTGTATCCAACAGATAGCAAGTTCCTCTCTTCCACCGTTAGATCAACGTTAAGCTTCGCAAGGTTCTTCATGGCCTCCACCATCTCTGTTACAAATAAAGAATCACACTTTCATTACATTTCTTGAAAAACATCGAAACCCTTGAGTCCAGAGAAGATTCTTTACCTTCATAGCGTTCAGCTTGTTCAGATAACTTTGCGAGGTAGACGAAAGTGTCACGTTCTTTTGCAGATTCCATGGATTCAGAAGTTAAAAAGTATCAAACTCTCTAGCTTTTTTTATTTTTTTGACTGATCCGACCAGAGGAAAGAGAGAGAGGTGTCTTTGAACTGGGCGTGGGGATAAAACCGTAATTAGCGCGGGGTTTAGTGGGGTAGTTCGTGTCTGTAAGTGATTTTATATCTTTATAAATATTCCTCGTGGGACCAACGGGTTCTTCTCTAAACCAAGTGGATTATGACATGTCATCACTCTCTAGCTACCAGTCCACTCATTTTAATAGTTCTTTATCTTCTCATTTTAATAGTCTTTTATATATTTTTGTCATACAATAAAGTAAACAGAAAAAGGAAAATGTCAAAAGCCTAATTGGCAATTTCACATTGCAGATTACTCATCTTAGAGCAGATAAGCTTTTCTTAAATTAACAAGAAACAGATAAGATTTTTTTTAAATATTTGCGGGGCCAACTTTGAGATTTAGAAAAACATAAATATTTTAATGTAAATGGTATAGGAGAAATCTGTGAAATATTGGCATTTTCAAATTTTGAAGACGAAATGATATTTCATTAGGTTTTGTCTAGTTATTAGATTTTGATAATTAGGGTCGAGATCAGAAACAGATATTGACAGGTCAGGCCCAATTAATACTGAGTAAAACCGGCCCATGTATATGTTACATTAGCTCCCGTATATTCCACCAATTTCAGCCCAATATTAAAAGCAAATCACCAATTTCAGCCCAATATGAAAAGCTAATTGGGTAAGTATACAGCCCAATTTGCGCTATTTTTTTGTATGGTCAACCACTTTGATATAGTTCTTTTTTTTTAATATAGTTAACTAGATTTTGACCCGCGCTTAGAAAGCGCGGGTTTTCTTGAATTATAAATACAATTTGAAGTTGTTATAAAATGAAGCAGAGATTTTTTGAAAAAAAAAATATATAACTTATGAAGTAGCTTGTCTGGGATTTTGTATATACATTTGTATTTATATGTAACTCTTTTTTTACGTATGAACATTTTCTCTGGATCCAAGAAAATCAACGAAAAACAAATATTTGGTTTGGGTTTCGATATTGGATAGTTTTAACCTGTGGGTCTTGGTTCGAATGTGAATCCTATCCGAGACTCAATTAGGATACTCAGAATACCGGAGATATTTTATTTTTATAGGTATATTTGGATGTTTCAGATATGTTTTTGGTATTATATATATTTTTAAAAATTTCAGGTTCGCATTTTCCGTTAAAGTTTCGAGTTTCAAGTAAAATTTCAAAATTTCAAAATATATTTCAAGTATTTGAATAATTTTTTGGCTATTTTTGGTTTAAATGGTTAGATAATTCGGATATTTAGGGTCAGATATTTATTGTTTTAATTTTTTAAAAAATTTTGGATATTTGTTTGGATTTTAGATATTTTCGAATACAAACCTGTTATACATCCGAAAATTAAAGTATTTTATAGATATCTATTATATTAAAAGAGAAGTCATGACTCACTTCATGTGTGATATTTTAGTTTAGATCATCTTTAGAGTACAAAATTTTACATAACATTATAATATATTTTCATATCTTTAATTTTTGTTTGAAATACAAATAAATAATTTTAAGAAAATTCTAACAAAATTTTAAAAAAATCTTTTAAAATCTTTTTCAAGATAAGTTTCAAAAATTATTTGATTAAAATTTTAATTATCATAAAATATAATTAAAATTTTAATTCATTTCCAATTTATAAACAAAAAATTAAAATTATATAAAATACTTTTAAAAATATCCCAAAATTTTGTTTATGTATTATGTAGGTCCAACTTAATTAACTTTTACATAGATTTCAAATTTAGAAATAAAACAAAATATATAAATTAGTAATCTTACATAATATTTTTAAAAATTATTACAAAATACAAATTTATAAATTTTATATTAATAATATTATAAGTCACATAAAAATGATTATAAAATTAGATAGCATAAAGAATCAAATTATACTTATTTATTGATAAATTTTATTATATAATTTCAAATATTTTCGTATTAAAATACCCGCACGGTTGTGCGGGTCGAAATCTAGTTAGAATAAAACCAACTCATACCACATAGTATCATTATTTATATTCATCTAGGAGTTTCTACTATTTGGATACTAAAGACATAAAGGATACATAAAATTAAAATTCGTTACTATGAAAATTTGACTTAAATATTTAAAAAATGAGAAATTATTGATTCAAAGTGTCATTTTCAGTTAGATACTTAGAATTTTAGTTTTATGTTTGCTAACAAAAATTAATCTTTAGTTTTGAATTTGAATTTTTTGGTTTCTTAAGTTCTCAAAGACTCGAACCCACTTTAATGACATATGTGATGTAGAAAAATTTAATAAAAGTCTATCAAAATTTAGTTAATCATATTAAAATTCTAGATATTTAGATTTTAAAATTATTTTAATCAATATTGAAAGATAATATTTTTAGATATTTTTAAAAATTATTTTTAATGAATATTATATTTATTTTTGTAACATTATAATTAAAAATTTGAAGTGTGCAAAAGATACCAACGTGACGTCCAAGCCTCACGTCATTAATGGGCCTATGAGCCGTTTATAATTAGTTGTTACTGTTTTATTACGTTTATTACGTTTATGAATATGTTGTAATTATTAAAGCAAATTAATGACAAAATCTTAGGAGGATTTTATAGATTATTAATAATGTTGTATAGTTAGAGAAAATAAAGGCAAGACCAAAAAAGGTAATTCTAATGAAAGGGTCCAAACAACTTGTATAAGTAGATTTTTTAAAATTCCTTCTCTTTTAATAGTATTGATTATGCATTATAAACTATGAGAAATTTGTCTTATGTGGATTCACGTCTAATTGCATTCATTCTTGACAGTATACCTTGTGTCATATTGAAGATCTTTTGTAAATATTTTCTCCAATAATCTGTATAATTCGCCATTCACCTTCTCCGAGAATTGAAACCATCTTAGTGTAGAAATTGTATAGTTTGAGATTTTAACCACAAAACTGGTGTATAAACCTTTAAACTTAACCACTAGGATACATATGGATTATTACAATTACAGCCGACCTATTTTATGAATATTTTTTTCTAATTGCGTAACTTTAGATCGTCATATAAAGATTCGATAAATCTAATCTATTAATTTAGAGTCATTTTTTATCTAATCTATTAATTTAGTAATTATGGATACTAGTAACAAACAAATCTTATCAAAGATCTTATTTATATTTAGGTAATATTAGTTTTAGAATATATTGTGCGTTTTGATATTAACCGTTTCTATCGACATGGTCACATAAACCATGCGATCTGTAATTGACCATTTGTTGTTATCACATTATTTCAAGTCCATAATTATTCTAACTATTCATTTCTACATATTTTTATTTTATTTTATAACTGGTATTTCTCATATTATATAACATTATTCATTATTGATTTGATACATTTTTCATATACCAAAAATCTCTTTGACATTTACAAATTATATTACCTATACTAAAAGTATAAACATTTGTGGAATAATGTTGCATATACATATTTAAATGTAACCGGTTTGACAAACATTTGTGTTGAAACATTTGACCTATACTAACAATTTAAACATTCATTTTTGTAATTTTAGATTTACAAATGTAATGTAAACTATATAAATATCTAAATTGTACTTATGAAATAAAATATTTTCAAAATGTTCTCTACATATTCCACTCATAATAGACAAGAGAAATTATATTTTATTAAATTTAAAAAATACTATATTAACATTATAATTATTGAATATTTTGCCTTATCAATTATTTTGGAATATACATCCCCATAATTTAATCTTGATTCATTATTTGATTTTTAAATCTTCTAAGTACTATGATTTTTTTTTAAACTCTATATAAACTAATTTAAAAATCCATATAAATATAGTTTTTTCGGATTTGAATCTTTGTATTTTTAACAAATAAATTCATCAAAATCCTTTTGAATCCGTGGTGAAATCAAATTCATTAGTAAATCCATAGGATTGAGTAACACCTGATTTGGTTTAAATTTATAAATCATGAAACCAATAACACATGATTTCAATATAGAATGAATAATGTATTTTACTTAGTTTAGATTTTTAAATCCATTAAGATACACAAATCATTACCCCCAGTAATCTTTAAAGTCGGAATATGCCTAACGGATATTTCTATAGCTTTTAGATTAGGTACATAATATCTAATTTCACAAATGAAATTTTATTAATTCTATATACTACGACTATAATAACTAACAAATCAAGTGTTTCTTATTTTATGATACTTTATTTATTAATAACTTTTTTAAAATTTGAAAAATTTAGATGATTTTGTTACAATATATTTACTCTTTTAAATTAAGTAGTTCACAATCTTTCATAATCTATATATTATTCGTTTAACAAACCAATTCAAATAATATTTTTTTTTAAATGAACACCTGACACAATATGTAGTAGAAAAAAATATTGTATGCACACATTAATCATTAACAACATATACCAAAATACAATATATATTAAAAATTAAATAATATACATGAAATTAACACAATGTATACCTTAAAGTACATATGTACTTTATCATATAAGCGAAATATTTATCACTATATAGGTGAAAATAACCGTGTTTGGCGCGGATTTGATTCTAGTCTTATATATTAAAACAGAAGTCATGACTTGACTTCATGTGTGATTTTTTTTAAAAATAGACTATTACTAGAAAGTTATGTTACATTAACTCTATTATGAAAAATCATATCTATAATAACAAAGATACGCTTAACAATTTGGTTTTGGTAAATTACCTTACACCTTCCAACTTAGTCACGCAATATATCTCAATAGATATAAGTTTAGGAATCTTCTATTATTTATAAAGAAATATGTCAATAATAGTTAAATGCAACTACAATATATTAACAAAAATCACAGATTATTAATATGGAATATTTATATACCTAACAAAATTTACAAGCTATATATATTAGATAAATTTATTTCGATGTAAATTTTTAAAATTATATTGTTTTACAAAAAAAGAAATTGTTTAAAAAGTTATTTTTAAATAAAATTCTTT